TATATACTACTTATTAACCGAGAGTGAGGTCATTACAGGGAAATCTCAGACCGAGGTCTTGGAAGTATGGACCGAGCGATAGCGAGGTCCATACAAACAAGACCGAGGTCTGAGATTTCCCTGTAATGACCGAACGGACGAGGTTAATAAGTTATTTATTATATGGCTCTCTTAATAAAAAAAATATAAAATATATAACGTGAGCAAAATAAAAGAACGGAAGTGATTTAACACTTCCTCTTGCGCGCGCATTTGTTCATTCAATGTCATGTCCAGTGCCGAAAAAATACAACAATTTGTTTGAAAATGTGTTTAATATAGCACAATTTATGTCACAAAACCGTTTTTATTCCACAAAACACGGTAATTTAGCTTAAAAAGTTTCAGAACATCCAAAAGTTTGTAAAAATAGTTGGAAAATACGTCAAAATTAAGACGATTGAAAACGTCAACACGTGCAGACCTTGCAGTGATTTTAGCGAATGTTCAACTTTCCTCGTCACTCTCGATTTTTCCGTTGTTGGATCTTGACTGTACCTTTGAAAATTTTGAACGAACAGTCGGATATTTTGCTGATGTTAGCTCCACCGAAAATGCTACTTAAAGCACTTGGATTTGATGTATGAACGGCGAGGGAAGTGGTTGACTCAACTGGTTACTCGTGAGGACGGCAAGCATAGTCTAATGACAGCTTAGAAATGCTCGATAAGTATTCACCATAATTCAAAGATAGCTCAAAGGAAGAAAAAAACGATGTGTCAGGATGTAAAAGCTCAAAAGAAGCCAGAACATACCTCTACAGACTACTCAAAACAAAAAGTGAAAAGCCGAAGGGATTCAAACCGGTGTTTTGACAAGAAAAGCTGAGAATGAAATCCTCCTCTTAAAAATTCAATGAGCTCGTTGACTAGAAAAAAAGAGCAAAAACCTGGAAGTCCAGTTGAAGGAATTTTGAGTCAGTGTGAACTCGTTCAAATGCCAAGCTTTCTCAATGACAACAGCTGAAAACAGGCAAACTTTCAAGCAATTCGTGGGACATAACCGTCGTCTATCAAGTTTACTTTTGCAATTGCTCAATGCAATAACTCCTCGGTTATGGAGAAAGAGAAGAAAATTGTAATTCAATATTGAGGGACATCCACATCGAAGAATTAATAAACAAACCTACACCGGCCTTGTCGATAGAAGAATCATTGAAAAGTTTGTGAGACAGACAATTACTAAAAATATAATGATTTTGGTCATTTTCGTCGGTTTGGTACTAAAAATATAATGGTTTTCGTCTGTTTGGTAGCCATTTTGTYRGCTTTYRCRCTAATCTCGTCAAAAACTTACATGTTAAATAAATTCACTTTGACTGTAGTTTTCGTTGTCTCTCATTTTGCAAATAAAAAAATTTCAAACATTTAATATTTTTTTCGCAAACGAACTAAAAGGATATCTTTTTTTTGCAATGCGTTTCAAATTGTGTTTTTTCTTCGTCTTACTCAAAGTCAAAGCTGGTCTAATCGCGAAAAATATTGACCGHTGTKAKCGGRCATTACAGGAAAATACCGACCGGTCATTATCTGTMAAYAGYCAATCAGAGCGCGCGTACTATCTAAGCCATATAATAAAGGATTATACATAATATGTAATCTGTATAACAAGGTTTTCAATGGATTATTATGCAATACCTGGTCTTGAGTTTTCTGCAACTCATACTTACTTTAACCTTAACAATTAATCACTAATATAAACTAATACATGGCAATTTGTATGACAACCCCTTATATGATCTTCCTAATTATCACTTTAAAATTTAATTGCTTTTAATAGACAATGACATTAGCTTATATCATTGCTTATTAGTTTTATTATTAGTTTACATTAGTACTTATCATTATTTTATATCATTACTGATTATTAGTTTATATTAGTACTTTATATTAGCCACATCATTATTAGCTTCCTGTAGTACTTTAGATAATCATTCTTTCTATGTTGTACAATTGCCGATGTATGCTCAAGCCCAGGAATTGCATAAGAATTGTTAAACACCTTTGTATGCAGATACATGTATGGCACTCTAAAATTTAAATTATGGGAGAAGGGAAATTCGGAACTTTACGGTATCTAATTGGACACCCATCTGTTAGATGGGAAATTATCTGTTACATGAATGGTAGCCTCCTCGTGGCGTAGCAGGGAAGGGGTGCAATAATTTTCAGGGTATAAGATTTTTTTTATAGCACCTCTACTAATCACCATTCAAATGTGCCATTTATAATCACTTCTTCAATGATTTTGAAATGTTGCACTTGTGTATTTTTTTCTGGTTTAGGTTTATCAGTCTAAAAAAATATTCATTCAAGATTTTTCATCAGTATAATCCTTCGGTTGCATTGCAATACCTCAAAATTTGACATTTAAAATAAACATTCAATATGACGAGCATTATATATGCAAAAATCTTAGTTTTTCTGTCACTCTGTTAGAAATAATTATAATTATATAATGACAATGACTAATGATGACAATGATGGGCGAGGGATCCTGATGACAATGTGGAACAGCGGAAGCTCGACTTGGTATTAAGTTAAGTATTCACTATCTAACATGTATCTGGCAGCATTTCCTATATTATTACTCTGCTACTAACATGTTGCTGAAGGATAACTTCTCAAGATTATAATTTTATTTGCTTGAGAAGTGATTGCACAGCCATTTGCTGAAGTGTTGCTTCACCCATGATCTTACCCAAGAAACTAACATAAATATAGTCCAAGATCTGTTGGATCACCTTAATTAAACAAGGCAACAACAAACCACACAACAGATCTAGTTGGTGTAAAAGAGCATACTTGACACTTTAAGATGTTGAGAGGACTGGGTGCGATTCCCAGATTGGATAGTGTGGTTTAATAATTGCCTATGATAATAAGTTAATATAAGCTTAAAGGATGCAGTCATTTGAGCAGTCAGTTTGATAAGTTTGAGAAAATTCATATTTTTCCACCTTGAGGTTCAAAAAAAAAAAGGAAAAAAGTTGGATTGTGAAGCAGAAAGCAGGAGACTTATATTAGTTATACATAGATCAAAATGTATGGACTTGAGAACCAATACCTTTAATGCGCCAGCTCTCCGTAAGAAATTAATTATACTCGCTGATCCTAACAAATCTCAAAAGAATTAGCATTTATTGTGTTTCCACTTACCAGTGCAATAAATTCAACTAGTTGTTTTTCGCAGAAACGCACAATCAGCTAGCAGAACTAACATGGCGACCAGTTTTGGGCTGCCTGTGGCTATGGCGGGAAAATATATACACAGGAAACCCAGATTTGTTTGGCGTTGAATTTATTCCGCATTTTTTTCTCGAAAGATTAAATATACTGTAATAAACAATTGTCGTTCGGTCGCGCAGGAACCCTGCACTTTGTATATGTCATCCTAGCCGAGGTACACTATCTTATGTAAAAAGGGTCTAGGTCATTCGACGTATTGCTCTTTGCCTATCCCGGTACCCAAATTTACGCAGCGGTCCAGCGGCTTCAAGGCTTCAATGTTTAATCTCCTAAAAATAGTTTAAACTAATACAAGGAGATGAAAATAAATTACAACATTTACAAAATAGGACTAAATTGAAAGAGGAAAATTACAAGATAATTAATAATAGAAGTAGTAATAGAAATGATACTATTAGATAGATAATAATGAATAAATAAACAGATAAATACATAGATAAATAAATAAATGAATAAACAAATAAGTAAATAAATAACACTAATCAAACTGAAAATCTAAGGAAAATAAAAGGTAGCGGTGACAGAATGCGAAGGTAACTTGGTACCTTGATAGAACTTAAGGCAGGCTTTACAGCGGTCTTAAATGACGACACATCCTGTGAGCTAATTACATTAGTAGGTAATTGATTCCAAATTCTAATGGAACGAGGGAAAAAGGAATAACTGAATGATAAAATGTTAGTCTGCGATTGGCTGGCGATATGCACCATGGGATTGACGAAAGAGAACTGAAGAGGCCTATAATGTTTTTTGCTCGTGTTTCTGGTGTTTCCGAAACATTCCTATGGAAATACAACAACAAATTACACTGTGACCCAAATAACTTTTCGTAAAAAGATAAATTCTCCCAAAATATGCCTTTGCAAAGGTATAAATTGCCGTTTTACAGGCCAAAAAATTGGTTTGGAGTTATAGTTCGGTTTGGAAACGATACGGACTGGCATACCAAAATTAAAATCCGAACTATTCAATCAATGTGATTTTCCAACTATCGAAAATAATTAATAAAAAGATAAACAATCTGAATTCTTATAATTCAAGATTATAATACCCATGTATTCTCTACAAACTACAAACTCTTTTAGAGAAAAACGCATTTTTACACTTCTAGATATCGGCTTTTCAAAACTACAAAATCTACAGACAACATTCACAGCTGGTTGGCAAGATTGTCCACCACGCCAGTCGTTTCTTTTAATAAACCCTTTTAGCGATCTCTTTTAGTACGCTGTGTTAGCCTCAACACCATGCAATAAAGATCCCTTTGTTCACTAAAGGCTGATTTACACGGTACGATTTGTCGCGCGCGACTTGTAGTATACGATTTTCCTACTACAAGTCGTAGGATTTTAAGCAGTGGTTCAAAGTCCTACTACAAGTCGTAGGCTGCGTACGACTGTTGTAGACAAGTCGTAGGGGCATTTACACTGCGCGAGAGATTTGTGAGTATAGAAGACAATGGAAGTAGTTTCAAATTTCACGAGTTTTATCAAATTTTCTGAATATTTTGCACACTGTTGAGGCTATACCCTGGGAACCTTGTTGACTGGTTATTTATTTCTAGTGTTACATAGAAAAGATATAAAATCTTGAAAAGTTGGTCATGCTTTATTGCGACTAACATTGATTGTTTTATGTGGCTTTTGTGAGTTTTTACGAGAATGGGAAAGCTTTCGCGATAAATTAATTTTGGCTCTATTGAAATAGGACCAACCGGGATTGGTCTATTATCGATTTTTGAATGTGATGTCATTTCTAAATTTAACATTTGAGCAGGTGCTGCGAGGAATATATGAATTCATTGAGGTACACTTCAGCATTCGTCTGCCAGTCTGGCTTAAGAGTGGTACATAACAAGACGGACGCTTCCCATTAATGATGTAGGTTAAAATGTTTGATTCTTTATGGTTCTTGGCAGTCACAAATTACATCAAAAATATGGTACGTAGAATAACAGTTTAAAGTCATTGTGCAAGCCACGAGTCATAATGTTTTTCTGAAACAGC